CTATCTCTCTGGAAGCCAAACGCCCGTGCTTAACGATGTTCGAGATATCACAGTGGCCACGAGTGCACAAGGAGGGATCATTGCTTTGATCAGTTATGAGAACAAGGTGTGAAGCGCTTATAAAATACATGTGGTGCAGTGATTCATGGTGTTGAACAGGCTCCTCCTCAGCTCTGGAAACTTGAGTTACTTAAGGATAAGGAGAATCCCAATCTGACCAAAGGACGGCTCACCCTGAGGTTGATTCCATTGCTTGATTCTACTGGATACGTCTCAAACTCCATCGGTTAGGCACACCTACATGCCCAAGGTCCAGGTTGATTTTGCTGGACCAAGCTATTTTGGTGGGAAAAACAATGAGATGGTCTTCTGTGCTGGTAAAGGCGAGGCTTTGTGACCATTTTTATTTTGTGCCTTGATTGATGTTATAACTGGTCTCTACAGCTGGGGATATTCATATTTGGGACCAGGAATCGGCAGCACTACTTCATCATATCCGCGGCCAGTCTCATGGCGGCGATTTGACTTGCATTGCTTGGAATCACGCAGCTGAGGACCCATTCATGTTTGCAACCGGAAGCCATGATGGAGCGGTTCGTATATGGACCACGCGGCCGGATGATGATCTGGGTGAGGAAAACAGTGTAGTTCGGACGGATTCACCTGTTGAGTTTCTGGAGGAAGAAAAACTGCATACTGGATCATCGCAGCAATCTTCCGAAGACGGTAGTCGAGGGACCGCCTCAGGTCCCTCGCGAAGACGACATACACTGGCAGCACCCGTGCGATCGAAACACACAGATCCATATCAAGAAGCTATTGGCCTTACTTTCCGCCAACGCATCCTGGCCTACGCTGCTGCACAGCGCGAAGCAGATGCCAAAGCTCAGGCACAGACGCAATCACAGGACTTGAACCAACCACACCAACTCGCGTAGATTTTGCCTGCGAAGAGGATGCACGTGAACTATTTTGCAAACGACTATTTCAAGTGATCAGGCCTCGTTCGATCTGAAGATCTAGATTTACCCTAGTGTGGACCCTTGCCATTTCGACGGAATACTTGCATATGTGTATCAACATGCTCCACTGACAAGTAATAACGATTCATATAATATTTACAGTATCATCGCGAGGTCTGATGTCAAACCGAGTAACAAAAAACAAATAAAATATCCACTTGTTCTGATTCGTGAGAGAGCAGCAAGTCACTGTGATTGATGTCGACGCCATCGACGTGCTCAATCTTGTCTATATACGCCTCTGACTCCAGCTTGACAGACGCATGGAGAGTCACGGATAATCCTGTCTTTTTTTGTCTCCATTATCCCTTTAGGGCGGCGCCCATATTGGTTAATCATGTTCTACTCTGCGCCACCTCGTGTATGTATATGGATGACAGCATTTCTAGACCGCTTCCAAATAGCCGATGATTGAGAAAGTCGGACGATGTACAAAAATTTCTTCATCTAGTATTTACCGAGTCGTTACAGTCATGGCTAAAACTTGGAAAAGATTCTTTTGCAGTTTTATATGCCACATGTTGGCAAGCGAAGAAACAGGAGATACATAAACAGGTGTTGGCATACTGAATGATGGCAGAAACTCAGTATTTTGCAGTGGGATAGTCAGTGTATCCAATGCTGGGTTGGATACCCTCGCGCCAATATAAATTCTTGATGTCGGGGACATTATCAAGAGGCTTTCCATGCTCAACGCGTTTCATGAGGTCAGGGTGCGTGATCCAATCGAATCCAATGACAATCCCGTCAATTTTGCCCGCCTCAATGAGGGCAGCACCTTCTGCAGGGGATACCCCGGTGTTCAGGAAAACTTTGGCATTCTTGATCAGGGATCGGTAGGATTCAAGGATGTCATGAACAGTAGCGCGCTTTTTTCCTGCACAGATAGTTGAATAAGGTTTCGAAGGGTATAGATTACAAGGAAAACTTACCATCGTACTCGACGTCAAGCTTCTCCGAATAACGAACGAGGGTTATGTAGGATAAACCGAGTTTGTCAGCCTCAGTCAAGAAGTACTTGTAGGTGTCAAGTGCCTCTTGAAGGGGCATTCTAGAGAGCGTATGAGTGGCGAGCAACGTATAAAGCATGAATGAAACGGACCCGACATCATTATACCCACCAGCAGGATTGACCTTGAGCGACACATTTCCACCGAAAACTTCGACCAAGACTTTGAGAACTTCGAGGCCGAAGCGGGCACGATTTTCGATACTGCCGCCCCATTGGTCTGTACGTTTATTGGCCGAGCTATCGAGGAATTGGTTGACTAGATACCCATTCGCTCCGTGGACTGCACATATTTTTGTCAGTACTAGGCACCCATAGGCCCAAAAACACGAGAAACTTACGCTCAACACCATCAAACCCAGCCTCTTTGGCGTTGATAGCAGCTTGTTTGTAGTCGGCAACGATGGTCCATGGATCCTCGAGTGCCGTGGGCTGAGGAGCTTGAGTATGATGCGGTATTAGATGTTGGTGAAACCCTTACAGTAACGTATCCAGGGCTTCCTGGTATATGACGGAATTTACCGCCTCGTGCCGCGATGGCAGAGGGGCCGTACACGGGCTGTAAGTGAGAATAATGAACGCCAGTTTTGGTGGAAGAAGTTAGCGACTTACTGTACCCGCCAGTTTCTGCTCAGGGGCTTCAGGATGGGCAACGCGACCAACTGGAGAGCAAATTTTCAGATTTTGATGATGAAAAGTTTGTATCATACGTTGACATACCATGCCACAGCTAGTCATGTACTAATAAGTGAGGTGCTAAAGGCCAATATCTATATTAAACTCACCTGAGCGTAGATGGTGGCTCCCTTAGCGTGGACAGTATCTACGACCTTTCTCCATGCAGCGACTTGCTCCCTATTCCAGATACCAGGAGCAGACGGCCATTCGGTCCTGAAAGAGATTAGTTGAGTGATAAGCCAGCCAAAAGAAGAACAGTTAACGAACCCTTGACGAGAAATGAGAATACCTTCCGTGGTGATGTGACCAACACCACCATCGGCGCGTTGACCATAATATTCAACCATAATATCATTGGGAATTGTACCCCAAGCACGATTACGAGTGAGCGCAGACATCGCAACACGATTGCGCATCGTAACAGAACCAAGTGTTAAGGAAGAGAAAAGGGCAGATATGGAAGCCATTAGACTGGAAGAGTACGTGAAAACCGCAGAAGATTATAATGCAGGAGGTGATGAAGACCGTCCCAAATAGGAATGCTTCTTTTATACTAAAGCAACTTCAAGAAGTTGGCAAGAAACTTCCATTAGCGACTCGTTTGTTTAGCTTGTGCTGAGTCGGAGTCTTAGTCATGAACCCCGGGCGAATGTTCCCAGACATTTTCCGAGTCGGGGGTAGCGAGGGATTGTTGGTGTTGAGTCGCAGGTCGTGAGTAAGCTAAGACATCGATTACTGTACATAGGGACAGTTCAGTATGTCATCACGGTAGAATTACTAATTGGGAAAGCCGAACGACAAATATCACTGACATCAACTTCCAGTTCACATGGTCAGCCTCAATTGATGTCAGCGAATTTTGGAAAATTTCCAGACGTTGAGATCTGAGAAGACGACACAAGAAATATGATCATATCGAGCCCAAGCTACATAATATCCTTGGCTACGGAATGAAAGAATGCGAGCACAATGAAGTCCAGCTGGGTTCCAAACAAATTAAGTATATCAATCACCACTGGCAGCTGGTTTCAGACTTCAACCTTTCAGTTCTCTGATACCGTCCATACTTACTGTATCCATTTTAGATCTGTTTCTACAGGATGCTCTGAAAATAGATCATTACTGTCGCGCGTGGTCACAGCCTGTTTGAAAAGCATTCTGGACACCCACAGGGTCAAGCCTAACCCGAGGATGGCATGCAGTGCCTTCTTTACTTGAGAGATAAGCTGAACTTGGTGAGCTGTGTTAAACGAAACCGGCCGGCAGACAATTGGAAACCCCACATTTATCACCTGAGTCTGGAAAGATTGCTTTCTGGTGGCGAAAGAGGATACTGTGACTGTTGAACAGGACTCGGATTTGGTGATTATTGGGTCTGGTGCAGTCGAGGGTATGTTCATGACTTTTTCCAGCAATCATAGTTGCACTCAACGGATTCATCGACGTGCAGATGTCGCTCCTTCAAAAAGCAGAAGTGCTTGCACGGTCAACACGCCAGTTGGGCCGAGTACGTCTATTATCAGATATTTTCGCCAAACTTATCCGCGTCGAGATGAGTCGCATACCTATATATCACTGAGCGCCGAAGGAGTTCAAAATGCTGCCGCTTCGTTGATGACGTTCCGCTAAATCGACGTATCGCTCACATACTAGATGCGCAAGTAGTTGGAGCTCAGTCAGGTGTGTACAACAAGACAGACCTGTCGTCAGTCACTCTCCTTAGTACGTTCCCTCAGTTCCCAAATTACCCCACTTTTGTTCGCTTTCTAGTCAAAGTCAAGGAATACACTCCAGGCGGCACCTGTCATTTTGAGATTTCAGTACGACCCAGATGCAACGTAACACCGAGCCCGGACCATCCACATCTGTCATATTTCGATGTAGAACAATTCAAAACCTTTTATGTTCACCAGGTAGAGGTGTACCTTTTCACCCAAATTATGCGAGTCGGATGACAGAACTAGAATAAAATTTCTTTGTTCGTGGGAACAGACTCGGAGGCGTTTGCACTACTAATACTTTTCGTATGACCACATACTTGTATGTTATGTGTCCCCCAGGCATGGTTTTTCACATACACGTACATTGAGGATCTTACCGCGAGAATATTTTGACCTGTTCATGTTGCGCCACTTGTTTTTTTTTCGTATATTTCTGACCCAAGATTGGGGATGAAACCCTTTTCCAGCCCGACACGACGAAAATACTTCGAGCGGAGCGCTCTTGACCAACTTTGCCAGAGAATTGCCTTACTGCCAATGTGAAAAATGGAACCCAGGACAAGCGTGTATGGCCGTGTGGCGAAATGGCATCGCGTCTGACTACGATGAGTTGTTTCATCATTCATCAGGAGATTGCAGGTTCGACCCCTGTCTCGGTCATTGTGCTAGTTGAAGGGTTGTGGTCCTTTAAAGTGTCTCATTTCTTTACAGCTATTTTCTTGCGAGTGGGGTCTAAATTGTATATTCAAGTTTACCAATCAATCCAGTGTTTCACGCTCCCTCAGAAAGCTGTTCGTTGACTTATTTTCTTGTCACTGATATGCATATGGCTACCGCAGTATAAGAAAGCGTTCAATAGGAGATGTTCGAAGAATCGTCATCCAGAGCAAAATCGGGCGAAACCGAGACCTCAACGTAACAAAGTCTAAAGGACAGAGTAAGTAGGGGAAGCAATGATCAGTGTATCTAATCCTTCAAATCCTATTCTGATCCAACTAAGCAGGCCGGTTTCGCACGATCTTGACAAAAGGCGATGATCCTATCTCAGCATGATCTCGCCTTTTAACGGTGGAGAAATTGGGTGGGTGAAGAGATGCTGGCTCTTTCTTATAACAAGAGTGATTGTCGTCAGATTGGGAAACAAGTATGTAGGAATGATGATTAACCAGCGCATAGGGGAATCTTCGAGGTGAAAATGGACAAATGGATGTTGTCTGGCGGCGGGCTGCTCGCCGACCGAGAGTTCGAGGTTTAAATGCTCGACGCGGGGGCTAGGTGTAGGGGCAGGAATAGCTTCTGCTCTCCTTCCTCTTGGTCTATGAGTTTGAGACACGCCATGTTCCCCACCAGTTTTTCAACCGTCCCTACCTTCAGCCTCCGACGTCGAGTAGGTTGCGGCGCTCTCGGAGACAGAGGAAGGTTGTACACTTGTACCTCTACTGAATCTCCTATCTCTAGTCGTCGCTCTGTCGTGGTATCCTGACTGTACAGGTAGTACCACGCGTGTGGGTCTGGCAATGCAGGTCGATTTGGGATGCTGAAGGCTGTAGCGAGCATGCGAATCATGTCCTCCCTGGGGGCCGAACTGGCGCGGAGGTTTTCACTCGACGACGGGATCTCCTTTGTGTTGTGTTTTTGGGGTACAGCATGGGCTGTTGGACTCGAGAGGGGAATAATGGAGCACATCGGGCGGTATGTATGCGTCTGGGGCTGGACCACTCTGTGGTTAACTGTTGACTCGTTTTTTGAGGGAGTTCTGGGCCTAAACACTGCTCTAAAAGGGGAGAAGGGTGACGAACCGAAAATACCATTTTTCCAGCTTGCAAAGGGTAGCTTGAGATAGTATCCGGGAACACGATTCAGTCCCAGGTTCGGACCTGGGCTTGGGTCCAATGATTGAGTAAGATTGACACGACTCGAGGACTAGTCCAACTGGTCGGTAACAAGTAGATTCTCATGATGTTGTTTGAAGTTGCGCATGGGGTCAGAGTATTAATCATCACAGTGATTCCTGCCGAGGGTACTGGCGCGGCGCGCCGCTGGTTTGACAACTGAACATGTTTTTGAATTTTCATGAGCCGGATTCGAGGTTAATCTAAGAGAACCAAGAGAGGGAAGGGAAAGATTTCGGCAGATCGGTCCTGCCTGCGGTACGACGAGACAGATGGCAGTGGACGGTTGATCACAGAAAGAAAATGTCAGGGCTCAGCCTGAGGCCGTTCGGCACGACATCATGGTCTCAATGGAAATGATGTCCTCCCATAGACACTCGAAAGGGCTAGCAAGCTGGTTGATGCTACTTACGTGTTGCCTAGTAAGTAGTCTTCGTTAATTCTTGGCTTGGTTGGATTTACCCTCCGAATGACATCGTATGACCATTGTCGATATCGATTGACATGAACCACAGTGATGATGACGAGAGTATATTTGCCTAGATTCCAAACATGGACTGCCCAGGACGCGATATCGTGTGAAGAACTATGAGATATGAGATTAGGGTTGCGAAAATTGAGCTGAGCTTGTGGAGAGAGTCGATAACAGACGTTCAAGAAGCCAAAGGCCTAGAAGCTTCTAGAAATCAGGCCTAGCACTCGGAAACTGCCGCCGCCGGACCGCCGGAACCACGCAAAATCGACCGTGATAGGAGGCTCGAGGCCCATCGTTACGTTGCGGTACTAATTCAGCTAACCATACGTGTGTGGAGAGATGGGCTGGACACTGGACAGATGACTGGCATTTGATCTACATTTGATCGCTCCCATCTCGGCGGATCTCTACTAAAAATGAGTTCACCGTTTCTGCAGCTTAGTATATCCTCGCTCAAACAAGCAGAAAAGAAAAAAAACCTCAAGGCCGTGCGGAAGAAGTGGCTTTGCCGTCGGATCTTTGAGGCAACGAGCCGTAAACGAGGGAACGGGGCCCATCTCCTTCAAGAGTGTGCAGGTTCGATCCCTGTTTCTCGATTTACGACGTCCTGGTTTGGAGAACTACTTTTATTCCGTACCTTCAAGTCCGAGAACAGATTCTGCGGGCACCAGCTAATGATCATGAAGTGCGAAGGTGTTTATTCGGTGAACGTACATAGAACGCGTGGCGAGTCTGCACCTGGTGTCGAGCGATTAGCGATCAGCGAGTATATTTCGATCCCTTACGAGTTTCTCTGTCAATTACTGTCGTTTATATCTGACGGTGTAGTAAACTAGTTGGGGTAGGTAGATAGCAATATAGTAACACAGTAACGTACTTACATGTACTGCGGCTAGGCACGCGGATATAAAAAGAGTTTCCTGGAACGAAAAACAAGAATAATCCGGGATTAAAAAAAGATGGCCAGCCTGGGGATCGAACCCGAGACCTCACGGATGAATGCAATGAGTAACTCGAACTATCTTTCCATGGAGGGCGCACCCGGGAGAGAAAGTGAGAGTCACTCACACTTCCACTGCGATACTCCACCGACTGAGGTAGCTGGCCTTGATTATCAGCTATGTCTGTACCAGACCTTTTTTCGTTGGTTAGACGCCGGACCAGCGCCTATTGCGTCTTGTACATAATGGATGAAGATGTGCGAGGCGCCGCAGCCGCCAGCACCGGGCCCTGATCGACGTTGATCGCAATGACGTGTATGGCAGCAGATCTAATCTGATCTATCTTTTTCCAAGCGTCGACAACGCACAAGTGGTATACAGTGCTCAGTATGTAAGCGACGCTCGTAACTCCGCCTAGTATCTCTGTCAGTCTGACACAAAACATCATATAATGTATATCAGGCGTCTCCTTCGAATCGACTAGCTGGCTGGGTACATCCTCTTGATGGGCTCGTAGACACCACCGGGCAGCTCTCAGCCTCGCAGAGGTCCCGATGATCATTGTAGATTCATCTCAAGGCTACCATCATATGTAATCAATAGCGATCCAAGGGTACTGCCGCGCGCGCTTCATCAGCTTGATCTGAACGTGATCTGTGCTCGAAGCGCTGAGCAAAAGCTGCAACTGTAACTCTGCCCATATGGCCTTGCTTTGGAATCGAACTGTTGCCCTCTTATGGAGAGGGCTCGCAAGGCTGTATTATCTCGTAGTCTCCGTCGACTCTGGGCTAGTTACTCATGAGCAGGACGTCCATGGGAAGCTAATTCTAATGGATTCGTCGTTGCGGACCAATGTGCTGGTCAAGTTGAATGGAACTCTTCAAGCTTCTTACTGTACTATATAGTTCCCCATGGTGCTGCTATTGCGGGAAAAAAGAAACGTTACAGAAGTTCTTAAATGGCCTACTTTGGGATCGAACCGTTGCCTTCTCGTGGACAGGAACGCTCAGAGGGCTAGCGAGGCTGTCTTATCTCGTGATCGTTGTCGGCTCTTGGCTTAAAGTTATCTCACGAGGCATCGATGACTGAGGGAAGCTTGGCCGGAAGCGGTGATTATCGTTACTAGCTATAGCGCGTCCGTCGTGCATACAACGATCAATCTACCTGGTGTCACCGAGTATAAGTTTATACATAGAACTCTTCCTTCATCGTTGTTAACGTTGCGGGCAATGATTGATCGTAGAGCATTGCATTATGGCTTGCTTTGATCGCCCTCCCGTCACAATGATCGTTCGAAGGGCTAAGTGCTAGGCTGCGAGTGGTGTTTACGTGTTGGCTCGTAGTCTTCGGTGACTCTTGATTACTTAGTGATTAGCGACTCTTGGCTTGTGAATGTGTGAGGAGAATCAATCTCAGGCTCAGAAGCTGGCTACTTCGTGCGTCGTGTGATTATTATCGATCGTGATGAGCGGACGAGTTTGTCTGGACTCTAATAAACACAATCGACACTTAACCGCCACTGACCAGTTTAAGTGCTTAGTTCGCCAGATTCCTGTTTTCCGTCTCGGAGACTGACATAAGGTGAACACAAATGAGATTCCATGTGAAGAGCCGTGAGACTGGGATAGATCTAGGTCAGACTGGGGTTGAGCTTGAGTTTTGTGAAAGGGTCCGAGAGGGTAATAGGCGTCATCATTTGGGGAAAGCTAAATCCCTGCTAAGCCTATAGGGAAACTCCCGCACCTGTGACTGGACAGCCGAAACCCACCGGCAGGCCAGGGGCAAGCTCCCAACCCCTTCGGACAAGAAAAGATTTGCCTTGCCGGCGCCACGCTGTGCAGATGCGGCAGCTATCGGTATCAGTTGCATATGTAGTTATGTAAATCTGTGTACATATGGATATAGAGCTTGAGGCTGATCGTTACGGCTATATTGCGTGCTGATTTGTGGAGATGTGGAGTTCTCTGTTGGAAGTTGAAGAGTGTCAGAAGACGATTGTGAAGGAAGAAAGGTTTACGTTAGCTACTTATATAATTTGAACGTGCACGGGTGCATAACGCTACGATCAGCTTCGAGAATGATTGAGTGGAGCATTGTGATGATATGTTCTTATTGTGAATACAACAGTCTTTGAAGATCTTTGTATTGTTGACAGCCGCAAATGAGGGATGCAGATAAGTACAATAAGAAGCAGGGGAGATGGTTGTAAGGCGAGCACAAAGAAGGGATGGTATTTACAACACACGGATACACTTGGGCCAATACAACGGAGAGACCCGGGGGAACGAGGAGACAGAAACAAGTAAGGCTGTGTGTTTTGTGTTGGCCTATTCTTGTATTTCGTGAGAAGAA